GTATCATTAGACCTTTTAAACACGGTGGGTGTGACCGGTCGGCATGGATACTCAATCCTCCATGGAACCTTATCTGATGTTTTGGAGGTCGGTGTTTGCTCTGCTCCTGTTTTGTATTGTTTAATGGACGGACTTTTGAGGTTAAATACTGTTCGTTATCTCCATTTGTTTTCATTATATGATAGCTTAAGAGGATAATAAAAAAAATACGCTATTAAATTTCTGATTCATTATTTAATTCTTATTTCTTTTTATTTTCAGTAGATGATTTTTTTAAGGAATAGTCAAGAGATTGACTACAACCCAAAATTCAGACTAACCATAACTGATGAAAGAAATAATCGTACATCTATTTCTATCATGGGGTTTACTTTTTTTTCTCAAAAGTTATGTTACATATTGTGGGAGAAAACTAACAGAGGACTATACTTTGAGGGGTTTTTGTGGTTGAACAATTAACTGCGGCAATTAATGTTTATCAATTTTCTTTACCGAATATACCTAGTTTAGGCTGTACATGATATGTGTTGTAATACATTGGGAAATAGATACATTTTGTTCTTATTTACAAACACTGGCAAATAAGGATGCCTGAATGGATAATTAGAATGAAGTTTGTTCTATAACTATAAAACATATTACAGTGGAAGTTCTTTTCTCCGACACCCGTATAGTTCCCTTCACTGTAAATTTTACCAATTATATATTGATGTAGCTTAACTCTTAATGATGTAAGATTCGTGCAACTGACAGATCTTACATTACGGGAGCAAAAACAAAAATAATAAAACTTGATGTTAAGTTTTCATTTCTAAGTATTGTGCAAGTTTTGCGTGGACGTTTCCCCTCAAGCCGTGTGAAGATAACTTTACGTTACAATGCATTTAGTCTTTTTACTGGACAACAAAAGAGAAACTGATTTACTAAATCAATTAATGAAAAAAAGCAAAGCAAAGGTTTTATATATTATCCCAAATCAATAATAGAAATTCAAACAATATTAAAATTTAAAAAAAAAACATATTAGGCCTACAACTTCTTATGAGTTTTCATACAAATCCATCCAGAGGTAAAGGTGGAAATACTCAGAGTTATATTCAAGAATACCTGGAGCATATACCCTTGATTGAACTTAGATACCTTATGGTTTCTGCTGATTGTGAGAAAGCATGAGATAAATGGATTTTGACTTTCTCTTTCTGGTTCGAGTTTAAATTGTATTTTCTTTTATATCGGTGTACGCAAACCATAAGTTTCTTTTTGTTATTTTTTCACTTTTGCAAAGCAAATGACTTCAGGAATAATAATTTTACAAATGCTCTATAATACGATACCTTTGGAAAAATGATATTGCCTTTCATTTGTAGGTTAAGTTGTTAATCTACTTAATCATATAGTTTGTCTATTGATTAATTGCTTATGATTGCTTAATATCATTTTTATTTGTTTTTTATTAAATGGTCTTCTTTTAATCTAATATTCATGAAAAATTAACTTCTCTAGAGGATCTTTGGTTCGTTTACTGAACTAGAAGTACATATATCTTGAAAGTGTTATTAATGAATCATTATTGATATACGGCTGACATAATCAACTAATTTTCAAACGCAACACTTAGTTTAACACCAAATTCTCGCTATTGTCATTTGATTGATTATCGTCAAAAGGAAATCATCAAATGGACTTACTTCATTATATATTAACAATTACTAATTACTCATCATTAAATGCTATCTTTGATGGTAATAAATATGTAGTTTGAAGACATTATTCCGTTCAATTACACATTGCATCAGTTTACCATTCGCAGAATATATTGGTACAATAGAAGACATTCTTTCTTTTCAATAATTCAGGAGTGTAAACATATAGATAGTTTACACGATCTGATTGTAATAGCAAATCCGGTAATAACAATATCTTTGTTTGTAAGTCTTATTATTTTAAATGTATTTTAGATGAATCAGGATGTGATTCTACAAGAGGTTATCTAATTTAATCCCATTGTTCCAATTTTAAAGAGGAAATCATCAAAATAATATGTGTCGGTGTTGTATATTTGTCAATTCCCAACCACAAATATGTATCTTAATAAACAAAGATGCATAGTGGGTTCTACCAAGTGTCCTTCTAATCTCCCCTTTTAAATATTAACAATGGTAGGAAAAACATCAGGAATACTGTGTGACAATGTATTATTTAAGATGTGCAATCCAGATGTGGATACTTAAGATTTAATGTCAAAATTACCTACCAAAATCAATAAACCGATCTTGCGACTTTTAAATCTTTATACAACAATTCCCCAATCATTAAAAGCGTCTTAATCAATACAAATGGAATTCGTAAATTTACTTACCTTGCCATTGACCATTACCTTGCCACTGGCCCATAATTGGCCAATTATTTTGAAAAAAAAAACTGTACACACAAGGACTCAGAAGTTAAAAACTATATTTTTTAAAACAAGGATGGCAACATTGTAACTGTTTACATTGTTCACGAGTCAAGTGAAGTTTATATTTATTTCTAAGACAAATTTGTACATGTCGCTAATTCTTCGATACATGGCGACGAAGTTACGATATATACTCACCAGAAAAAGAAACGCATATTTTTAAGTCATCAAAGAAATTTTGGAAAAGTACATGGAACAATTAGAGTTTTATCATCGGATACATGTGACCTGTTTAAAGTACATTATAGGCTTTTAAACCCTGGTTGTTGAATTATTTCTCTTGATTAATTATGTTTATGAAAATAGCGTTTTGCATAATTTCTTGTAAATCATTATTTTTAATGAAATTTTGGATTAAGAGAAACAAAAAACATTCCTATTAAACCCATATTTTTGATTTCACTGCAATGTTAATGCTGCAATGCCACGCCTAAACAAAGATAAACGCAACAAGGCTCTAACAATGATACTAATTGGAGCTTCGCAACTGGAAGCTTCAACTATATTTGGTGAACATCAATTGGCTTTGCACCACTTATACTCACGTCTCCACCAGCTAAGAACACGGATTACAGACCAAGAACTGGTCGTCCGCGGATTACCACAACCAGACACGACCGTCAGATCCTCCTTCAGCACCTGCGCAATCGACTCAGAACTGCTGTACAAACTGCTGAAATCAGCATATAATGCACACATTGTTCGCAAGAGAGTGAGAAGAACTGGTATTCTTGCACAACGTCCATACATGGGAAATCCACTAGCGCTGAGAGGTCGTAAAGGACATATGCATTGGTTACGACGCCTGTCTCTAGAATTTGCAGGCGACGTCATTGACTTCAACTTAACTTGTCAATTGGAACAAAGGACATTGGAACATGTTTGATTTTTATCATAACACACTCTAAAATCTGTTTTAAAAATTATTGTTTAAACTGAAAACTTAGATTGTCATGTTTCATCTGAATATGCGTTTCTTTCTTTCTTTTTTTTTTTGTTGAGAATATTTAACCAGTTTTAGAAGAGAAATTAGTTTGATTATTATAATAACATCTTGTTTTGCATTTAATTAATATTTGAAATTATGAATCCTGAAAGAAAAAAGTATGATGCTGATGATTCCATTCAAGTTTCACTCATAGGCCTAGCTGTCGGGAAATCATCCCTGATGCGAACTCCTTGCCATTTTTACAGACCATTAGTTATGGAAAAATCACGTTTGGTTTATCTTAAAAAATATTTATTTAGACTATTATATTTCTGAACAATTTAAGTTATTCTCAAAACATCGTTTCTAACTTTAATTGTTGTTTACCGAGAGACTTATTTATGACCAACTTTTGCGTACACGACGTGTTATTTAAATTACTTCGGTTTTTGTCGCCAGATTACAACGACAAATTTTGGGGCTAAATGTATTTTCGTTATAACATTTGATTAACAAACACTCAATATATTGAAATTGTTCAAATATTTAAAATATCAATTGTAAAGGAGAGAATTTGAGAAATATAAAAAGACATCAATTTTAAAAGAATTTGAGAAGAATTCTGCTCGCAACAAAAATATGCTTTATTTCATACATTTCAAATGAGCTACACATGGAAAAACGACTTCGATTTACAACCTCGTAGGAAAACGCATACAGGTAATACACTCAGGTAACATCCTGTGTATATAGGTAGCTATACACAAGCCAGCGTCGTTCACTCGGAGCTTCTCAGCCGCTTCGATTAAGCTCCACCCTACACCAAATTTACTTGGGGAAACCTACCGGTTGAAAACCTCGGCCTTTAAGGTCAAAGGAAAGGTAAAAAATGTTGATGCAGTTACATTCGTGTAGCCTAGTATGTATCGGCACATATCAGTACATATGGCGCATGAAGTTTTATCATACTATCTTGAATGGTTTCTTTAGACAAACTTAAAAAAAAGTGAGGTCAAGTTCAAAGGAAAGGTCATAGTCAAAATATGTTGATGCAGGAAAACAGCTCTCATCAATGTCTATCAGCATAGGAACTTTTATATTTAAAAAAAAAATTAATATTTTTTCTTTTGAAATTGAGCTTTGAACTGAGCTAAACGCAAAGCAGGACGGAGGGACAGACGGAAAGACGGAAGACGGATATGACAAACTATATATGCCCGGCCATTTTTATGGGGGAGCATCAAAAGTTCATGGAGAATGTTTTATGTGAAGTTTGGAGACTTGAATAGACGCCTGGAGACCGATCCTATAGATGAGACGGGACTCAAGGTCTCGTGTCGGGGTAGGTGCTGGCATGAATAGTACCCATAGCAACTGATTCCATCTCTCCTGATTTGTATTGTTTGAATGGTCTTTTTAGCTTGAAAGCTGATCACTTTCTCTATATTTTATCCCTCGTTGCTCAAAGGCCGTAAGTACCATGTACATTGTACATGTATAAATACTCTGCCCTCCACCTTTTATATCCCAGTTAACTTTTAATTTTGTTAACATAAAATTGTTGGATATATATATTGTCCAAAATCCAGAATGAAAAAAAAATAAATGCTAGAAATGATAATATTCATTGTCGGATATGCAATTCAAAATTCCGAAAATAAAATATGTCGAACACTGTTACCTCTCCCCAACCCAATAAACTTAATTGGATACCTTGGAAGGAATAACAAAATAAATTAAATAATATATAAATAAAAAGTGCTTTACATAAGAAAGATTTTGCAATGATCGTTTGAGGTAAAATGATTTAACAGTATTTTCAGAACACATTGTGTTACTTTGTAATGCAACATCAATTCCACCATTATGTAAAAAAAAGTCATCACCACTTATTATAAATGTATTGGACTTTATATGTATTATATGTACTTTACATATCTATAAAAGGATTAAATTTCAAACTTTGATTTTTTCTTTTAAATAAATGAGATATAATGTATTCAGTAAGGTTTTATCATCATGAGAGTTTGTGTTATCCCTAGACCATTCTGTACTATAGGAAACCATGGGTTGACCCATTGCTCTGGGGACCAGGGACCGTTAAGGAAGGCGAGTTGACAGTTGTTAAACCACCAGCCTCCTCTGTTACCAGAAGCACAGTGTCCGTTACTATGTCCGTCGTTATCCCTGTCTGGGGTACTGAAGGACATCCCTGACAGGTTAGCTTCAGGGTTATCTGTGTCCAACATAGCGTCACCTACAATAATCCAGGATAAATTATCACATGGTCATCTATATCAAATCATATCATTGATATATAGCATTAAAAGTTAAGATTAATAACATACTATATTTATAATATACACCCTTTTAATTTACAAAATTAATTCAAAATTAAAAACGATACAAATTATTTATTTAGTACAAGCAGTCGTATTCAAACATTTGCTACATTGATTAGATTTTCTCATTTACATCTATAAAACTTTATTGAACTAGCATCAAATAATTAAGGACCAGGATTATGTCTCTCATATAAATTGCATGAATAGGAAATTAGTTAATAATTAACGTTTCCCTCTAGATAACAAATGGACTATTCAAAATATTTTAATTTAATTATCTTTTAAAGCTAGACAAAATTCACAATCACTGCACAGTTAGTCGCAAGATCAGTCTAGTTTATCTATAAAAGGTTATTTCAGCTGGTTTGCCAGAAAAGAGATTGTAGTTGCTTCCCTTTCCCCCTCTCCTTATTGACAATCACACATATTAAGCCATGACTTACCCAATGTCCCGGTAGTTGGACCACCAAGATAAAGTCTGTATTTGTCTGACTCCTCAGAAACAAAAAACTGTTGATATCGTTCATATAGAGTTATTCCATCTTGTAATGTAATGGAGACGTAGAGGGAGGTGTTATTTCCCTTGGTTAGCTGATGAATCATGTCATTTCCTTCAATTTATTTTTTATTATTATTTCACAAGTACATTAAGTCTTTAAATCAAGTAGATGTTTATGTAGATTTTTTGTAGAGAAAAACAATCAAATATAACTAAATTTTAATGGTATGTTTTAATGTCAATAGTGCGTGATTAAACTTAAATCATTGAAATTCAATCAATTAATACGATAATTTGTATTATGATTATGAAAAAATGGTACTAAAACAACAAGATATTATTATTATTTTTATATTAATATTATTATTAACAGATAATATATATTATGATTTATGATAATGTAAATTTTTCTTTGAATAATATAATATTACTTTTTAAACAGTGATTATGATTATTAATTATCATTTCTTCAATAAAAAATGAAACTAAACATTTACCGATCCAGTAAGTGTCATAAGGATTTCCAAAACCTTTTTTGTATTCCGCCCATGTTCTGTAAAAACTCACTGATCCACTCCCTCGTTTCTGAATTGCCTAGGATTTAACAACAGAAAACAAATTGTATTAAAGTCCCAAAGACATATTCATCTCATACATGTACGCATGGACTGCGTGGTTGATACTACACCCACTGAATGGTCCTATTTTATCCCTTTTTTTTAAAGGTACATTGCAGATTGGTAGGCAGGACTTGATTCCAGTTTTGTTATCATCTTTCATTTGGATGTGGAAGTTTATATTCATTTGTACTTGTGAATGTTCTTGCGTCATAAACTTATCTAATATGTAACGAATTGACCAGCGGTTTGTTTGTTTTTGTTTTTGTTTTTGTTTTTTTTTTTTGCATATTACCCTTTGCCATTCTTTCTTTTAGTATACTATCTATGAAATAGTGTTTTTTTTCCAATGTGCTTTTTCGAAAAAGTATGCAGGATTTGACCAATTTTTATGTGTGTCAAATAGTTGACAACTACATTAAGTTTAGGAAAGCATCGGTGTTTGTAGCATATTCAGAAAAGCGTTGAACTTAAATTCTTTGGATAATAAGTTATATCCCCAAAGTTGATTCAACTACATTTTCTCTAGAAAACAAGGCGATGTTCTCTTTCGGCGTACGAAATGCGAAAATAATTTAGTATTCAATTGATTATACAGAGACAAACTGACAGGAAGCATAATTAAAGCATATAATAGATCAACAAGAAGAAATATCGTAGTTCACAAAATCAGAATATTATTCAAGATTTTCGATCTTTACTCTAGCATGTAGGGGATAACTCTCATTTTAAAGTATGAATCAAATAAATTTTCCACAGACTGACAAATATGTTTTAAAAGAGGCAAGATATATCATTCTTAATTTTATGTTATCTACCAATAACTTTTTTCCGGCACATCAATTTTAGCAGGGCGTCACCAATTTAGGTAAATTTGGGCAGAAAAAAATCAACATACTTTAAGAGGGATAATCTCAAAGTTTCGCCAAAAACTTAAATAGAGTAGATGAACAGAGCAACTTTAATTGTATGTTTTTATATTTGCTGTATTCATTTCGTTCATTGGGATAGTGTACATCTTCTCGGCAAGCCACGTTATATATTCACCATTTGCATTCGTTGGATAATGCAAATAAAATTAAACAATTACACAATACATACATTTTCTCTATTTCTCCATTTCTCTGTTTCATTTTAATATATCTACATTTGCTGGTGTCTTTTCTTATATAACAATGCTAATAAAATTGAACTTCAGTTTTCAATGACATGCAGTTGGCCACATCATCAGACATTCTTGAGTATGAAAAGCAAACTGAACGAGCAATATGTAAAGTTTTGACTGTGACGTCACATGACGCCCTAGATACTTTACGTTGCATTTCAAAATCAAAGTCTAAATAATGCCTATATTTCTTTGCAAAATGAATAAAAACGAAAAACATAAATATAAGAAATAAGATATCATTTTTAAGAGTTTCATTGGGGTATGACATGATCAAATCTACTATAACGCCCCTCGGGCTATTTAGAATTTGAGCACGTGACCCACTTCATGTCATACACCAATGAAACTCTAAAACTGATATCTGATTTCTTGATTGTGACAGATAGAAACTCAGCATGCAGTTCAACAAGCTCTAAGAGAGAGAATTAAAAAGAAAGACAGAGAGACAGAAGAGTTCTTACCGTCCACCCTCCTCCTTCAGTCACCATGTCACAATAAACGCTGACCCTAATCTCGTTACCAAAGGGATTTATCTCATATACGCCAGATTGTGTGTTTCCAAGTAGATAGTGATCTTTACAATCCCTTGTTAGTTTCAAACCTGAATGAGAATAATGATTTAAAATGTTAATTAACAGAGGAAAGAGAGAAAGAGAGAGAAAGAAAGAGAAATATCATTACCTTTTTCCAATGTAGGCACTTCCGTCCATGTAAGATTCTGATTATTTAGTTATCTGGTTATATTTTCAAATTCCTGAAATCTATTCTGACAGTTTTCTAAAAGTTTCTTGTCTTCCTGTCTTCGAGTATTAACCTCCCTTTTTAATGATTCTACCGTGTTCTGTAAAAAATTGTCATTTCTAAGAAAATCGATCTCTCTTTTCAATGTTTCTGCTGTTTGCTGTAAAGTGGTGATCTGACTTAAAATAACAATTTCTCTTTTCAATGATTCCACCTTCTGCGCTAAAGTGTTGTCTTGACATTTGGTAGCAACCCGTCTTTTCAACGTTTCTAGCGGTTACTGTACAATGGATACCCGCATGAGGGTCTCCTGTTTGATGAGCTGACGGAGGACGTTGATTTCCTTGATATGTCTTTTCTGGAACTGAACCGTGGAGTTATCATCACAAGCGCAGATCGTGTAAGAAATTGTCATAGAAATAATTAGTGGAATGAATACCTTCATTTTCAAATTTAGATGCGAACTAACTAGATCAAAATGATGCAGTATATCTACCAGAGGACTGACTGTGGATGATTATATAGAGATGTTTAGGAATTTCCTCAAATTAAGGACAGATGATACAAACAAAAATGGATGTCTGGATTGGTATATATTTTTAGCCTAATTTCATTGCAAATGATACAAATAATAAATTTCTAGAATATAACGAAAATGTTAACCTGTGACGTTCAAATTCTACTCTTCTGAAACCATCCTTATTATTCTTTACAAATATTTTTTTCACTTTAAATTTCATTTTTGTGCAAATTTGAATAAAAAAAATGAAAACTATGGGCTGAAACTTATTCGTTATTTTCAAGTTGTTATTTTCAAAACTTTCGACAAAAGTTTGATTGTACTTTCTGTCCTTAAGCAATGATACAGGAATCAAATGACAAATTTAAAGCCTTGCAGGACTAAAGCAATCAAAGTTAATAAATACACATATGAATATGGGACTTTTCAATCTAATTTATTCAATTATTTTTATGCACCCGAATCGAAAGGTCCGAGGCGTATATTGTTTTAGTCCTGTCTGTTTGCCTGCTTATCTGTATGTCTGCAAACTTAACCTTCGTCATAACTTTCGAACCATGAATGAAAGAGATTTCATATTTTGTACGCAGTCTTCACTAATTAAACTCTTTCAAATGACACCAAGGTCCTTTCAATGACCTTGTGACCTTGACTGTGACCTATATGCTAAAAAAAGGTTTCTTTTCTACAAACTCTAACCTTCGCCACAACTTTTATACCATAAAAGTTAGAAACTTCATATCTGGTATGCATACACCACTGAAAAAGCTCTTTTTAATGACACCATGGTCAATGACTTTGTGACACTGACTGTGACATATACACTAAATATGGCTTTTTTGTCGACAAACTTTAACCGTCGCCATAACTTTTGAAGAAAGAAAGATAGAGACCTAATATTTGGCAGGCATACTCCACTAATTAAGCCCTTTGACATGATACTAAGGGCAATGATCTTGTGACCTTGACTGTGTCCTATATGCTAAAAATATCTTTTTGAACCTTCACCATAACTTTTGAATCATAAGAGATAGCGACTTCATATTTGGTATGTTTATTCCACTTATTAAGTTCTTTCAAAGGACAATGACCAAAGACTTGTGACCTTGACTGTGACCTATATGCTAAAAGATATGTTTTTAACTTTGTTGCCGCCGGGTGCATAGTGTTTCACAAACACATTTTGTTTAATGCAGGTATTTAAAGGAGAAACAAAAATATCTTTATAAAAGAAATTAAATATGAGAGAGAGAGAGAGGACGGAAGAAAAAGTAATTTACACTTTTCACATTCACATGTAACATGAGAATGATCACTTCTCCATGGCACCTGATCCAACCTCTGATGTTTTGGGGGTCCGTGTTTGCTCTGCTCCTATATTATATCGTTAAATGAGCTTGAATACTGTTCGTTATTTCCATATTTTTTATGTATGTCTCCAAATTGTTTCTATACACAGGAGCACCCTTGACGTGCGAATATTTTCTAAAATGAGACAAGGTATTGACAATGGTGAAAAGATCAATAATCGTGCTTAAAGGTGTTAGTAGCAAACTCTATGGTCCATACGATGATTTTGTCAATAATCAATTAAAATTTATCATGAAGTCGAATGCTGACTGATGTTTTTCATACACTTTCATACATGTTGCTATGCCATTATCTACACACGGAATTATTTTTTTTTTACCCCTTTCTACGATCATTAAAATCTAAAATGCTTACAAAAATATTTATAAAATTACAATAGAAAAAAACCTTTTTTTTCTTAACACAGATTTATATTATAAACTTTGACTTATATGGCGTACGATCTAACCGTGAATGATCACTGGAAGAATTTTCGAATGTAAACAACTAGGGGTTCAAGCTTCAAAAGACCGTATTTTTTAACATGTTTGCATGATTTAACAGACTCTTAATTGTGTAAAAATGGTATTACATGTTGCCATGTTGAATATGCCCTTTTTTGGATAATTCTATACGAACCGTAGGAAGTGAAATCAAATCACGTTCCCAGATCACGTTCAGATCAATTATTCACTGAATGCACTAATTATTCCATCAATTATGATATAAGAAAGAAAGCATTTATAATATCATCTTTTTCGTTTCGAAGTTGAAGTCGAAACTCTATGCACTTAAAGTGAATAAATACTTTTTTGTCGGCTGCACTGTTTTGATGCAAGTGTTTTCCTTATGCTACAATATGAACTGATGAACAATAATATAGCAGTGGAATTATGCATATAATATCGCCATAGACAATATATATCTTCGAAGGCGAACAACATGTTTCTATTATTTATACCTGTTAAGCTAAGGTTGGTCAGCAAATCCTTCATTTCCCTATAACCCCGTCGTAGTTCCTCTACTTCTTTCTGAAGTTTACTTGTCGATGTGAGGTTGGTTATAAGCTCTCTAAGTTCCACATTTTCCATTCGTAGTTCATCTACTTGATGCTGCACCTTACTTAATAATGTAAGGTTAGTTTGCATATCTCTTATTTCAATATCTTCCCGTCGTAGTTGATGTACTTCACGCTGTATCTTTCTCAGCTCGTCCAGAAGTGTAGAAAGTGTTCCAGTATTTTTTTCATTACTCTTGCAGTCATTTTGTTCATTCAAATAAATATACTGGGAACTCGCACATATGAAGCCGGTTATGAAGAAAACTGCCCACACTTTTGTCATGATTCAATTTTCTTGTCGTCTTAATTTAAACGTCCGAAGTTTAAATTCCTACTTAGCAGGATGTGTATCACCGTACTCTTGACAAAGAACAGGTTGAAAGTGATTTAAATAATTCAGAATGGTCTATTCATTTGAAACTATTTAAAGGGACTCAGCGCTTGGGTTGACTACAAAGGATATGCATAACGAAGATTGCTGTAAAAAACTTCCTTGACCTAATATAAGATACATGAAAATAAATAAACCATTCTGACAGCGAATAAAGCTGTCAAAGTTATCAAAATTTTTTGCTAAATCCATGTTTACAGTGTTTTTACTTCACATAGCTATGACGTCCCAACCGCTCAACTATGACGTCACGAGCTTATGTCTGTATTACAAAAAGACAGAGGCAAAGGAAAAAATCAAAGAATTTTTTTTTAAAAATGTAATAAACAGAAAATTCAATGTTTTGTAGTTGAATATGAAATTTATTTCACTCGTGAGACAGGATTTTTCGCACTCGTGAAAATATCAAAAATCCTGTCCCATTCGTGAAATAAATTCCATATTCAACTACAAAACATTGAATACCCTCTATGTATATTATATCCTTAAATTTCGTTTCATAAAAGGTGAAGATAACTAATTGATCTATCTCAACAGTCCTATGAACAATAAAGACGCAAAACCAGGAAAGGGAGGGGGGGATAAAACACCAGAGATAAGTTCAAGTCAATTAAGAAATAAAAGCAAGAATAAAACTTTTAAGAAAAGGTTCTTGATAACAAGGGAAAATTGGAATATCGCAATACGCATATAAAATATTAAGTTTTCTAATTTTCGGGATTATTACAAAATATATAAAAATCTCAATATTTGACTTGGGTTTTTTTCAGTTTATCGACCGACGAAGACATATTTAAGCGGTTTCTCTGTTATTGAAGTTGTTGAAAATTTTGTTTTTATCTGCAATTAATAAAATTATTAAGTAAATAAAGCAAATTTCGATTATTTTTTTTTCAGTTAAAAACCATCTTCACTTACCAATAAAAAGACAAATTCCTGTGTCGACCTCATTTGGTGAAGTGTTTTAAAACATCAAAAGTTCTCCGTATTATAGGTGTAACAAGGAGTTGCATTAAGTATGCAATTCACATCTTAACGTGACTCCAATGTCATCAACATTTTACCGTTCGGTATTACAAGGTTCTCCTGGAGAAAGCGACCAGTTCTATTATTGATTCCATTAATAACACGCTCCCTCAGCATATATTAATGAACCTTTTCTTTCTGTTCTCAGGTGATTGTAATTTCTGACACGAATGATGAATTTAAATTTTAGCAAAATTATTTTTTTTTTTAATTTAATATTTGCTTCCTGTATAGAAATATTTAAAGAGAAACTTGATTTGTTTTATATCTGGTTATTTTTTTATTATGATACTTTATCAGATTATTTTTTTATTACTCAAACTACAATAATCAGATAATCATATTTTTTCATTAAATTTATATCGTCAAGTTATCAATCCATCGATCATTCTACAGCAAGCGTCATTCGTTTTTTTTCTTTATTATTTCCCCATTCTTTAATTGTTATTTTTCTCAAATTTGTATTTATATTTGTTACTACTCCTGTATTTATTCCTTAATTATCTTCTTTGTTAATTCAACCACTTTCTATTGGGTTTTTTTCCATACTTATTGTACATCTATTAGATTTCTTCCGTATAATTAGAACGTCATTCATTTGTGTAATTTAACATGATTTCATACTCAATAAAACCGTATTATGTAATTATCTTATGAGGGTCTGTCACCTTTATCATAAATGATAAGGAAACGGATTAGTATAACTTTTTAAAACTTGTTCCCGAATCCTTTTTGATCTTTGTACTTCTTGTCTGTATTTTTTGCTGGTCATGTTCAAATAAAATATGGTTTGAACTAATCTATTGATCGATTGATAACCCGGTAAATATCTTCATATGTTTGTTAAAAATCCAAATATATATTAGTATTAAGTAAATAGAGTTAATTTTCGTGCCCGTTATAAATTTTTTATTTGAATGTATTTGAGACATACCTTGTTTTCAATATTTGAAAATACAGAAAGCTAACCTACTGTTTATAAAAATTAATAAAATTAAAAACAACAATTTGCATTGCAATTAGGGACATGCATTTGTAATTTTCCAATGTGTAAACGTCAAATAGATTATCAAGGAAATATAAATGTTAAGTAGAATTACATCTCAGATGCATTTCTATTTTAATACAATATTGACCGCACTTAAGACATGAAAGTTACACATATGAATATTTATACCGTTTTCTTGTCATTTAAGCATCACAAAATCATCATTTATTTACAAAAAAACAAAACCAATCATAAAAAAATACAATTTTTTGCTAAAGAGATTTTTTTTAAATATAAATCATTAATGGAGATATGTTTTAAAGGGGGGGATAGATTTGGAATAAATACACATGTTTATTGATTTGAAATAATGTAACAATGTTTATAAGAATACAGGTATTAAGAAAACACTCAATTCGCTGTCGGCTTAACAGAAGCTTCCTGTTTAACATGTTTAAGAGTTTTATAAATAGATCACAGTATCTTGTCACTTTTGCGTTTTTGAAATCGGGATTTCGAAAAAAAAAAGATTAAAATTAATATGCATTTATATATTTATTAATGAGAAAGTTGTCTTGATAAAGTTAATGTTCTTATGTTCTAATGAATCTTATTTAATGAAAACGTAATACCTAATATAATCTGTATGAATAAGCAAATTGGTGGCAATCATTCAATCTACCATATCTAAACATAGGGCTGTGGGCGGATGTGACCCGTCAAAAGGTCAAAAGGTCAAAAGGGAATGTTTTCTCCTCCTAGGCACCAGATCCTACTTCCAGATTTTTTGGGGTGAGTGTTTCTTGCTCTGCTCACAAATCTGTATTGTTACTGTGGGATTCTTCTCTGGTTTCTGACTAGAACAAATATTCAAAGTATATAATGCTTATATGTCTTGTATATTTAGGTGTAAGAGATTTAAAAGAGTACCGTATTTTTCTCTCCTCATCACGATTGTACAACTTTAAATTGAAATTTATACTTAACTGCATTTGAAAACTAGCAGGGACTACCGGTATATCTTCTGTGGAATGATGGCATCTGAAAATATCTTCTTTTCTGCCTCTAAAAATTTTATAGAACAATGAATTTAGTTATAAATCAAAGAATTGAAATTGAAGAAATTTTGAAATGCAAGTTAAATTAATGATAACTAAGGGACTAAAGTTTCAAAATATATCATATGAATATGATTTTTCAAACAAACTAGAATTATGTTAACTTTTAAAAGCTTCCAATGCTCTAAGTACAGATTTAAGCCATAAATCCATAAAAAGTGGGGTTTTTTCTCTTTTAGTAAACGACCAAAACATCTTTGTTTTTGTATCATTTTATATTTACATTTCCATTGTCTTTGTCCGAGATAAAATTCAGATAGTCAATGTACTTTATTTTTCCATCAATGTACTGGTTCATCGATAGACGCGGTTTGTGGGAACGCACTTTGAAAAAAAATTACGCACTTTGAAAAAATGTTTTTCAAAGTGCGTTAAATTTGTAACAGCAGTTTAAAAAACTCACGTGCAGGGCGGGACAAATAGCTAGACAGAAGCAGGGCTTGTAGCACGTGGATTGGTGGAATCAAGAGCATACAAATATAAGGAATAACTGTCAGATTTTTCAATTTCATGACAATGATCAATCGATTGGCTTGCGTGATAATTTTATGCATATTCGGCGTTTATGCAAATTATCACGCAGGCCAAACGATTGATCACATCAGGAAATCGAAAAATAAGGCAGTTATTCCTTTTAAGTATCTTTCATTACTTTATGTGGCAACTTTACCATATATGAAAATAAGAAAAATAGTAATAGTACATACTAGCTAATACATGTAGCTGTGCCAGTCCTGAAATCATGGAATTAGAATTACAGAGCTGTCAACATTCTGAAATGACAAATAGTAAGGCAGGGTCTAGGGATCACCTAGGCCCCCTGCTGCTGAACATTTTTTTGTAAATGGACATGCAATCTAAGGCATGTTTCCATCTTGTTTACCCTAAAACATTGACAGGAATGTGATCGGCCCTTCTAAAACCGAAACGATGATACAAGCAAGCATTGTAAGAATTATGAATATATTATAATAGTAGAAACTATACACTGCCAGCTATGAAAATACCCGTATTATAAACTTTGAACGAGAAAAACCTGAAATCGAAAGAATATAAGGAGAAATCGTAAGGCGTAATTTAGACGCTGATTTCGTACGCCTTACGCCAAAATCGTAAGGGTTGGCAGCTCTGGAATTACACCCTCGATGAAAATGTTGTGAACACTCAAAGTAGTAAACTCAGGGAGTCACCAGAAACACCTTGTCAACTTGAACACCAAGACTGGTAAGACCAGTTCTACCCCAAAAATAACACTGCCCACAAAGAGATTTCCCTCCAAAACCTCGACCAATGAAATCTCATTGTAGGTTCACTTCATATATAGGTCACTGACCTCTCAAAGTTTATAACTATAAGCATGTATAAGGGAAACATATCTTATAATTCTTAATTAAGTTTTAAATAATTCTAAAGCTTCTAAAGTATGATATACCTTAAATAAATAATAAACTGCGGAAATATAAATACATGTAAGTTTAATTTTAAAATAAATTCCACATGGACACAATTTTAAAGGCATATACATGTTGTATATACAAAATTCTGCTGTGCTACAGTAAAAACTTGAAATGCATGATCATAAAATGTTACTTTTCATTATGCCAAGAAAAGAAATTTAATTCAGCAAAGAGAAACAAAACTGTTTTCCCTGTCTACGACTTTTTGGGACAACCCTCGTATATGGTATATAATATAATATTGATTTATTCACCCTGTGACATATATAGTTGATTTTAACGAGTAGTTTTGTGCTCGATGGACACTTTAATTTATTTGTAGATCAAATGACGCACAGTCACATTTCAGCTACTCCAAACCCTCAAAATATTTGAGTGGCTATACATACACACATACAAACAAGCATATTGCCCTGGTGATCACCAGACATACTTTCTATGAGATCGCATAATAAAACCCGGCGGTGACGTCTCTTAAATATATGTGTGAAAAATTCCCGAATGGGACGTTAAACAATATATAATCTATTTATCTAATATCTATCTTAATGAAATTTTCACTGAATAAAGCAGACAATATTACTAAGTGATGGTACCTGTGAGATTAAGTTTGACCGTTTTATATTAGAGGCAAGGTCAACTTTTCCCTGGACATTAAGTATAAATTAATATTGTTACCCTTGGATGCGCGGATCTAGAAGGGGGGGGTGGATCCGGACCCCCTGGAATTCGCAGAGTTATTAAACTATACTAAATAAAGTAAAAGTGACCCCCCTAGAAAATGTAGACCCCTCCCCGAAAACACAGATCTATAGATGTGAAATTGGTATGAAAAGTTACTGGTTTGAAGTTTCAAAAGTCAACGACAAACACCCCCCTCCCTCCACGAAATAGGTTTTTCATGTTGGGGAAATGAGTTTATGTTATGTATGATTTTTTGTTTGTTTACCTATCAATAATTAAAGGTTCATAAATATTTATAAACCAAGACCCATGTACCTGTGCTTCGATCAGTCCTTGAACTTGATGATGAATTTCTGTAACTTTTCAATTTTTTAAAACTTTTTTTTTTTTAAAGACAGGTCTATTTGACTCAGGAGGTGCAGCTGCTATAACCAGAGTAAAGTTTTGAAAGGTCAATAACATAGTACTTTACTATTTGTTGTTTACAAACCTTTTTGTTGGACTTTGTACTTTCCATGAGTCATTCCCCTTTGTCGCACTCTTCAACACTTAGAAAAACAGCTGACCGATGCGTGCAAGACTTCTGAAATCATTTCACTCGGCGACGGAGAAATGGATTGATTTGTGATGGTTCGGTGAAATAATCGAATAATTTGGATTTACAGGTAAAAGTTGTTACCTGTGTAATCAGATTTCACTGTTTATATCTTCGGGTGATCGATTGATATTCTGATGTGCGGTTAGAATTTGCTCGAATGTTTTCTTCGTTTGTACTTGCAGATCCCCTGAGCTCGGCGGATTAGAAGTCATGTCGGCGGTGCTAGTTTCCCTGGGTTTGTTAGGAGTTCTCTGTGCCATTTTTCGGCTTCTTCATTTGTCCATATACGCAGGGGAACCGAAACTTATCTATAAGGAGGGGTCCCAGTTTGTGAAATCTATTCTAGACATCTGTCCAATCTTTAAAGAAGTGTAAGTAAGATAATTAATGTTATTCAGCTTTAAAACTTATCGGGAATATGATGTTTTTTTGTAAAATGCATACCTTTGAAATTTTAACAGTGAATCAAAAATGTTGATAGAAGAAATAAAAGTATGATAACATTATCATGATTATGTAGTAATCTCCCCTGTCTATAAAGGTGTGACAGGATTCTACTTTGTTTTGTTTTATGTGATTTGACTAAACAAGTTGGTGTGAAAAAAAAACGAATACATGGAAATCTAAAAGATGGTAAATAGATACTGTTGTCAGATAATAAAATACTGATTATATGATCTATTGATTCGGTAGCCAGACAATAATACACCTATAGATTTTGCCCGAGGGGCTGAGTATTAAATATGCATGTAACCTAATTTGTGATAGACTGTTATGAATAATTGACGTAGTAATACATGTAGGTACACATATAACTAACATCCAATTGGAAGCTGTAATTGATAAAGAAATCCAGTTATTTACTATGTATACTGATATTGCGATTTTACGGATATAGTGAATTTATATTGGATCCCCAACTGTATAAATTGAACAAATCCTAATATGGATATAACAAATTATGGATATAGCGAAGTAATTTCATAGGTCCCAGTGACTTTGTTATAACCAAGTTTTTCTGTATCATTATTTACTGTAGCAGTAGATATCTTGAACCATCTTTTACAATAAACATCTACCCGGTACTATAACTATTTCTATTCATAGATACCTGCCTCCTCTAATTTACTATTGATATCTTCCATCTACATGTATTACTGTAAATATCTAGTACCATTGTTTACGGTAGATTTCTACCACATTTTTCCACAAAGATCTACCTTCTCTGATTTACTGTAGATATTGACCATCATTTACTGTAGATATTGACCATCATTTACTGTAGATATTGACCATCATTTACTGTAGATATTGACCATCATTTACTGTAGATATTGACCATCATTTCCTGTGGATATTTACTGATTCTCTACACAGATATCTACCTCCTCTGATTTGGGGTAAGAGTGGACACTTACAGACATTTATCTATGCAAAACTGGGAAGAGTTCAGTCCCCCTATCCTAAGGGTGAGAGATGCAGTGTCCTAATGTCAGATGGCGCTACCATGACGTATGATGTGTTTGAACCACACAAAGCTCACCCAAGCAATGGTAATCATTTCACTTTTGATTTTGACAGTTCTTAGTTACTTACAATGTTAAGTGAACACTTAAAAGTTTGTTTCAGTGTACACATGTAGAACTGTCAAAATCAATATTTTTAGTCAGTCAGCCAAAAGGGAGCCTCATTTTAAGTGAGTTTAACGGGAGAGGGCAACCAAAACAATTTTGTTAAAGATGGCCTATGTCTTGAAGTACAGAAAAAATATGTATAAACATGTTATTTAGTCAGTCAGGTGTGAACATAAACATATTAGTGCCCTGCCTCAATGATTCTGGTAAGGTTGTGTATTATATACTTAGTACATGATTGTAACATGTTGAATTTGTTATCAATGGCTAATCTTCACAGGATTTGATCAGGCGACAAAACTATACTTCAATTCCCAGTGAAGTTTTTAAACTGTTTTACTTATTTAATTCTTAAATGAGATGATTTTCAAGTTTTTAAAAATATCTAAATCATGCTTTGCTGAACAAAAGATTTACAGAAACCACAGTAGACAATATTTAACTCAAATATTAGTTACTGTAGATTCCTTATTTTTAGCGAGTACTTATTATCGCGAAAGGACTCTTCAACGTCAAATCGCGAGAATAATAATTCGCGAATGTACGGTTGATATAGAGATTTTACATTGTTTTCAGCATCATAAAAATAAAAGCGAGTAGTTTTAATTCGCGAGTGGTGCTGCTCGCGAAATTACGCGATTATTAATTCCACGCTTATATTTAGGAATTTACAGTATTATCCCAGTGAATTGTCTTTCTTGACAGAGGGTCGGTGAACCTTAAGAAAAGCAGCATACTAAGTACCTCTGTGGGTCAGCTATCACTCTCAGCATGCTCAGAGTTGAATGTTGAAGTTTTTCATACTTTTTTTTTACTAGGTGACAACACTTATATTGAGTGTCTCTGTAACTAAACTGTAATCTATATAAAGTTTTCATACATGTATGACTACACGTAAAGTTGAATGGGTCTGTAACAGTCATTATATTTGTCAGATGATGTTGTATAATAATTATTTTTATCTGTGTTTTTTAAGGCGACCTCACAAATTTAAGATGAATGTCTCTGAAACTGTAATCTATATATAAATATTTAAGGTGACTACACCATGGTTCTGTGTCCTGGTATTGCCAACAGCAGTGAGACGTCCTACATCTGTACGTTTGTCCACTACGCTCAGGAGCGGGGATATAGGGTGGCGGTCCTAAACCACCTGGGGGCACTTCCCAGTACACCTCTCACTAGCTCAAGGATGTTTACCTACGGTAAAGTAACTTCAGCTCAAGGATGTTTACATACGGTAAAATAACTATGGCTCAAGGATGTTTACTTACGATATTTTAAAATAACCATAGCTCAAAGAAGTTTACATATGGTAAAAATATAGTACATAGGTTGAAAAATATGGTATATTGTGTAAAAATCTGCAAGAAAATAAATATGATCATAAAACTGATTTAATCAAATCCTGACATATCAGTCTATGCGAGAGTATTTTTTTTTACCACACAGGACATTCAGTCCTGTGTAAACAAGGAATACACAGGTCCCAACCAAATTTTGTCTGAGAGAAAAACGTAATGTTATAAACTAAAATCAAAACCCTCAATGTCATGTGAAAATTTCCATTTAGAAATCGATCACCAAGTCAGATTTGTCCCCATATGTGATTGGTAGATATTGTTTTCATAAAACATTCTTTATCCTGATTGGCTGTTCTTTGTTTCTTAACAGCCATACTTATTCCTGATTGGTTGATATTTGTAGGTGGTACAGAGGAGTATGGAGCGATGGTAGAGGAGGTGATGAAGACCTACCCAGACACTAAGTTGATGGGCATCGGCTTCAGTATGGGAGGAAACGTAGTCGTGAAGTATATAGGAGAAGATAACTCCAGGCAGGAAGGCTTTCTCTGTGTTATGTCCCTTTGTCAGGGCTATGATGCTGAGCTGTAAGTGGCAGATAACTTTATATGGTTTGCTTATTGAGATTGTGAGGTAAAATGTATGCTAGGAATTAAGCTAATTTTTATCTTCTTGACAAAAAAGGGAAGAAAATAAACATGCTTCATGTGTTAATCTGTACAGTTTTTTTTTCTCTGTGACAGAGCTATAGAACTGGCCAAGGATTGGGTACATCTACGACGGATGTACGGCTATGTGATGACGTCGAACCAGAAGAAGATGTTACGGCGACATTATGACATGTTACTGGGTAAAGCCGTCCAGGAGAAATACAACATAGACCCAGAACAAGTGCTAGCTTCTACCTCACTGTACGAACTGGACGAGGCTTATAGTCGGTACGTATGTACCAGTGTTTATTTCCTATGTAGCTTGTAACACGAGCTTTGGTTGGTTACACAGTCAGGTGTAAGTTTCCATGCAAAAAAACTTGAGCTGGGGGTAAATAAAACGTGACGTCACAATGCATATTACTTTCTCTATGATAAAAACCAAATAACATGACATCATGATGCATTGTAATACGTAGTTATCTGATTGATAGATTGAGACACAGTTGATTAGACTCTGATATTTTCAAAGAATTTTTAGCTCACCTCAACGAAGTTGGGGGAGCTTATGTAATACCCTCGGCGTCGGCGTCGGTGTCGGCGTTGGCGTCCCAGGTTAAGTTTTTTGGAGCAGTTTTCTTTTTAAGTATTTCTATGTCCTATATTGATTAGACATGCATGGAAGATGCTTCTAATGCGTTTCACTGTAGCAGTCAAAGTTTCAGATGCTGCAATTTCAGCAAAGGAATGGCCAGGTTCATGTTTTT